GACTTTCCTTTTGTCCCATTATCATGCTCAGTCTTCATTTGGGTTTCCGTGATTCCTCTTCATTACATTACCCTTGATCACACCCTACAAGGTCTCCTATACCCTCTTTACCACTGATTTGGATCACTTGTTGTTCCCTTGTCCCTGGGTTTGAAACAAATTACCCCCAATGGTTTGTCTTGTTGAATGAATGCTGCTGTGTTAAGGACTATTTTCAGAGGATGGATTCAGAAGGCTGAGTGGCCTACTATTTTTCCCTTATGTGTGCACATCAGAAAGTATTTAATCCACTGTTTTCAAATGGGGGGTGTCCCTTGACAGATGGAAGATTAGAGACAGGAGGTAGAAAGTAACTCAATTAGAAGGTACCAATGTGAAAGGACTCTCTATGACTTACCATGTCTAAATGTGCTTCACAAATGAGATCTTTTTAAGAAATGAATTAGTTGCACTCATAAGTGTCCCTCTCCCCAAAAGGGAGGAAACTGTGGGAGGTAAATGAAATCCTGGCAAGTGGTAAAATCTACAGTTCAGAGAGTGGGTGCTGGGTCTGGCATCCTCAGACACTGATGGTGAGCTTTGCCCATTTCTCCTACTGACAGAAGGGTAGGCAGTTTAGACTCATTTCCTCTGAATGATTGAGACCTTAAAACTTTCCATGGCTTCACTGGTGAGCCTGATGAAAGGGATCTGCATCATAAGCAGTTTGTGTCCAAGCTGGATCCAGGCAAAGCCAAAGTCTATGCCCAGAGCCAGGGAACACCATCCATTGAAAGGAAAGGACCACACAGTTATGGTGCTTGCAGTTTTATTGCTAAAACTGCCTGCATAAGGGGGACAGATTGTGAAAAGCATGGAGATTTATTGCTGGGCACTCAAAAGTGTGAGAAGTAGACAATTCAATCCTAGTTTAGATCTATCCTCTTTAAAAACTCTGGGGGAGAAAACCTATCTTGTAATTTAATCACGTGAGAAATGCAGTCTCCAGAGATGGATCTAGATGCTGACTATTTCAGGAAGGTAGTGGTGCTTTTAGATAGTATGATAGAGTTTGTGAGACAGCCATTCACATCCATTTTTCTTCCAGTCCCTAAAGAAAATACTATCTCATGCCTAGAAATGGAGGAACATGAGCTCGTCTGTGCTTTTGGCTATTGGCTGTTCAACTTTAGGTTTAAGAAGCCTCTTAAATAGTGTAAGAAGCTGATGGAGGAAGATGGACAAAGAAGCTAAGGCTTTCAAACAGAAAAAAAAAGAGTATAAGCAACTTAAGAAGTGGAAAGTGACGTCCCTAGGGAAAGACTCCTTTGGGCACATTTGGAATTTACATTTTGTCAAAAAATAATCTGTCTTTTATGATGGAGTCAATGATGACCCTTGATTCCACTCTTGTTTAAACATCTGGATTCCCTGCTATCTGTTTCCACCTATAGATAGAATGGTGTGTTTTCTTGGAGTCCTGAACATTAAAGAAATGTATTTCTGTAAAACAGAAGGGCTTATACAATGGTTAATTGCACGAGCTCCTCTTAGTAGTAACCAGAAATGTCGTTCTTTGGCACTCTCAATCTGGATGACTCTGAAGCAGAAGGTCTGGGAGCACAGCTTTACCCAGGGATTCGGTAGGATAAGTCACCCTTTGTATCAGATCCCTTAAAATATAAACAGGGTGCTGATTTCAAGGAGGCACTGATTTAGGAGGAGTAATTAATGTTGGTTAGGAATACATGGACTAAACATTTCTTGCTGCTTTTGATTCAACACCTACATTAAAAAAAAAGTCCCTGGAAATATACTTTAACTCACAAATATTACTTACATAAAGACTACGTCCTTTGCCATCATTTCACATTTCTAACAACTGTTAGAAATTGTTAAATAACCTTAACGCCATTTAAGGATACATATGTCAGCAGCACCTCTCTTTGTCCCCAAGTTCTTGATCCCTCCCATCCATCATTTCTGTCCACCTGGAATGCAAATGAAATCAACAGAGAAGGGGTGGTGGCGGTGAGGTGGGGGACAGGGTGCCTGCCTGTGTACCAGCTGGGCCTGCAGGGAGGGTGCCGAGCTGCAGCTTTGGGCTGTGGGTCTGCGAGCAGACAAGAGAGGGACACTGGCAGGCATTCACGTTGCTACAGGGTTGGAGATGTGTTGTTTGTGCACTTGGTGGTGGTGGTGGTGGTGGTTGAATGTACACATCCCTGGGTCTAGAGGGGATGGATCCCTTCCCTGGCTAAAAAGCCTGACCCAATCAGCTCAGGCTGTAGTTTGCAATGGCACAAAGCTAGTGGAGCAAGCTTGGATGGCCGCTGCCAGGGTGAGATTCGTACAATGAAGCCACCTCCCAAAGGCCTCTGGGGCCTGAGGGGCACTGGGTCATTGAAGCTTCACATAATGCCGATCTTGTTTTTGGTTTTTTTTTCCAGGGGAGAATGAGAACACAGTCTCCCACTACCACAAATTGTGCAGTCAAGTTTCCCACATTTGGGGAAATCGCAGTGCTCAGCACAGCCGGAGTGCAATGGATAAGCCTCTCCCTGGGAAAACCACCTTTGTGATCATGGTATCTCCCCGGCCAGGTAAGTATGCCGATCTTGTTTTATGTTGGCGTGGTCTTTGGAACCTAACCATTTCTTTGTTTAATTGTATTCGACTAAAATTACAACCATACAATTTAATGGTTTGAATGTATTTTAAAAAGTTGTATAATCATCGCCACAATCAATTTTAGAACATTTTCTTCATTTTTTTAAAACTCATTGTTATCAGCTTCCCATTTCTCTCCAGACTTCCCCTGCCCTAACTCTGGGAAACTATCAATCCAGTTACTGTCTCTATGAATTACCTGGCCTAGATTTCATATTAAAAAATCATACCAAAACCGCCCCCCAAAACAAAAAATGAAACAAAACAAACAAAAAAACCCTTCAATAGCAATAACAGAATACAATATAGAAAAAAACCTTCAATCCAAAAGGAAGCAGAAAATAGCCGAAACAAGAGCAAATTTTAAATGGGTCAAAAAGGAGAACAAATAATAAGATGTAAAAATTTAACCTCACGATATCGGCATTCATTCACTTTCTGAATTAATTCAGGCTAGCCACATGCCTGGGTAATAGTCAGCAAATAGAATGGAAGCTAAATATCTGTGGGGCTCTGGAAGTAGATGTTGTCCTGTGTATGCAAGATGCTGGCTCTCTTTGCCTTCCTGCTTGCCTCAGTTCTTAGTCTGGTGGTGGCGTTGGCAGCCCGTGTGGCGTGCTTATGCTTGGAGCTGTCATGCCCTGCCTTGTTCCTACCAAACTTGGATCCATGGGACTCTGAGCCCATCTAGATCTCTCCTCTTCCCATTGCTCTTTCATGCTGCATCTGCTGACAGTTTCATGAGTGTTGAGAGGGCTCCAGGTGGCATCTGATCTGTGGACTTGAGTTGAAGTGGGCTTGGCCACTTCCTTGCTATCAAGTTACATATATAAATATAACTATATATAAATATATTTATATATATGTGTCTGATTTTGTTACTTTAGAAAATCAAGTCTAATACACTATTCTTTCTCAACATAACCTTCATATAGGTTTGGATACTTCTGAAAGTTGTGTTTCCACCTCCCTATACTTTTCCTTGAGCAAAAAATCAGAGAAACTGAATTTTTGGAGAACAATGAAGCATCAGGGTGGAAGACTTATTAACAGCCTGTAATATGCAGATGACACAACTTTGCTTGTTGTAAGTGAGGAGGACTTGAAGCCCTTAGAGGTGAAGATCAAGGATTGAAGCCTTCAGTGTGGATTACAACTCAGTGTAAAGAAAAAACGAATCCTCACAATTGGACCAGTTGTGAGGTAACAGAGCAAAGACTGAAGTTGGTGTCTTGAGCACCTTGTGACAGCTCCACAGACAGAGCTTAGGAACCAGTCAGCGTGTGCACCAGGGCAGCCACCTTTCAGTCTCCAGTCTTCGCACAGTGACCAGGCCAGGTTCTTTCATGAGTATATCACACTCTATAAGCCAAACAGTCTTTTAACCAATTGATTCCAATGGGCATTTACACATATCAATAGCAAGTTAAGTAAAAACCAGGCAAGATTTACTGGCAAGAGCAAGGAGAGTGCGAGTTCTCTTTTATTGCTGCAGTCAAGAAGCTCCACCCCGCTGGTCTCTTAGCTGTAGCCATAGATGTGGTCATGGGTGTTCAGTCCAACAAGGGTGCAACCACAAGTGTTTAGTCCAATAGCCTTGGATTTGGGCAGTCTTTCTGTTATTTACTTTTTTATTCTCGGTGGCCTTCTTGTCAGCCTTTTTATTGTCCATGGTGACTCCATTTGTAAAGGCTCTATTAAGTTGCCAAAGATTTAATCTTGCTTGGATAACCAATGCCCATGGAAACGAAAGTCAAGCAATGAAACGACATTGTAAATCTCCTGCACAAGTCTTCATTTTAAATGTTGAAAGATGAGGATGTTACTTGACCCAAGCCATGGTATTTTCGGTCTTCTCATTTGCATGAGAAAGTTGGACCTTGGGAGGAAGATCAAAGAACAACCAATGCATTTGAATTATGAGGCTGAAAAATAGTATGGAAAAGACCATGGGCTGGCAAAACAAAAGAAAAAAAAAACCTGTCATAGAAGAACTACAGTCAGAATACTCCTTAGAGGCCAGGATGGCAAGATTCATCTTACATACTTTGGACGTGTTTTCAGGAGACACGAGTCCCTGGAGAAGGAATCATGCTTCATAAACAGGGAAAAAGAGGAAGATTTTCGACAAGACGGATTGACACAATGAATTTTTTGAAAGGTTCAAATATCAAAACAATGTGAAGATGACACAGGAACGTTCAGTTCTGTTGTACTCAGTGTTTGGAGTAGTTATATAATCTGTTGTCAATTTGAGAGGATTAAGAGTGAAGGGGTGGAGTTTAGCCTGTCAATCAGGTTGCAGCTTGAGGACCTCATTTGGAGACGCTAAGGATATAAATAGCTTGCCAGAGGGAGGACACTGGCTCACTCCCTGGGAGTCATTGCTGCTGACAAGACACCAGGAGTTACCCTAGTGCCCCGACCTGGAGGAGCCTTGTGGAGACCCTTGTCAGCACTGAGATACTTACAACACCACTGGATCCACACAGCTTTCCACCCACTGGCCTGTGATCTTCCTGCATTTGGTGTCATTGCAGGAGTCTGAAGAGGAAGTTATAGATTGGTATTAGACATAGGGGCTAATATTGGATTTATGGACTTGATCTGGACTGGGCTAGGATGTTTTCTCAATATTCAATTGCTGTTGTATATATGGCTCTTTCTTATACACAGGTGAGTGTCTATACATTTTGTTTCTCTAGTCTCCCCAGACAGACACAGTGTTGCTGTGAGTCAGAACTGACATGATGGCACAGCAACAGCAACAATAACTTTCCCCCAAATAATTCAGCTTGCTTTTTGTCACTCGTTGTTACTGAATGAATTCAGACTGACAGCAGCCGTATAGGAAATTCTACTCTTTCATTTATACCCCATCAAAATAGCAGTTTTGGCATCTGCAAGAGATTAAAATTGGGTTCTTTTAAATTACCTTTCTTTCGGGGAACAAAAAGAAATATGCAAGAGTAGGAAACAGAACAGTGGGGTGTATGTGGGTAAGATTTCTAAAAGACACCTCATAGGACAGCCTTTCCTATCCTGGAAAAAAGGAGCAAGGACATTGCTGCAATGGGAGGAAAATCCTCAATGAAACTTTCCTAGCCTTTTTCTTACCAGTGAGTGACATTTTCAATTCTCTTAAATGCCTTCATAATAAAACCGTGTTGTTACTCTTGTTCCCTGCCCCTGAAGAAAATAGATCACGATTATCCCTTTGGAACTTCAAAAAACAGTCACCACAACTTTCTGATCTGATCTCCGCCTTGAATTTACAGCCCTGTAAAGCCTTGTACCCTGGTGAGGTAGTGAGTTCTGAGTTGCACACAAGATCGGCTTGCTAACCACAAGATCAGCGATTCGGAACCACCAGGAAAAAGATGAGGCTTTCTGCTTCCATAACATTACGTAGTCTTGGAAAACGACGGCAATAGTTCTACTCTGTCTAGGGTGTCATGATGAGTCATAATGGCAGTGAGTTTGGTTGGGGGTAGATTTCCTAAAAAAACACACACTTAATTGGACACTCCTCCCTTTTTATGGCAACCTAATTACACCACGACAGGTGTATTACTGAGAGAACCTGTCTGCAGCCCTCCACTGGGTGAAACAAAACAAAACAAACCCCTAAACCACTGTCATCCAGTCACTTCTGATTCACAGTAACCCTGTCTAGGGTTTCCAAGGTCATACACCTTTTGGGATCCGATAGGCTCATATTTCACCTGCACTGCTAACCTTGCAGTTAGTATGCCAAAGCTTACCCTGTGATGCCAGTATGTTCCCTGAACGTAGTTGCTGTCAGTGCTGTTGAGTTGGCTGTGACCTATGCACAATGGAATGAAACACTGCACTGTCCTGTTTCGTCCTCACAGCTGTTTGTTCCTCTGCCTGAGCCCATGGATGCAGCCACTGTGAGCTTTCCATCATTTCCACTGCCCTTATACTTGACCAAACATGATGTCCTCCAGGGAATGATCTCTCCAACCGTATGCCCACCGTCTGTGAGAGAAAATCTTGCCAACCTTTCCTCAAAGGAGCACTCTGACCTTCTTCCAACACAAATCGATTCCTCCTTTTAGCAGTCTGTGGAACTTTCAATGTTCTCCAAAACCACAATTCAAATGTATCAATTCTTCCTCGGCCTCCCTTAGTCAATGTCCAACTTCCACATGCATCTGTAATCACAGAGATATGTATAATCCACTTTCTTTGGAATAATAAGCTTGTGCATATGTGAACTGGAACCATAGTACTTTTTACATACTCTTGTATAGCTAGAAAATAAATATTGGCAATATATACTGTAAAGTTGATTTGACTCACATATTAATACTTGGAGTCATGCTATTGAGGTTTCAGTCCCATGTTTCTGTGCTTCTCTTTGAGCTGTCTTTCTAGTACATTCGTGTTACCCACAGGCCGGCTGCTTTCATGATTGTCAAAGGGCTACCAGCTGTAGTGTACAGCCCTGCATGTTTCCCCTTCCAGGTCCAGGGGCAAATGAGGATTTTCTTTTCCTAATTGTGAAATGAAAATTCTGAACCTTTGATTAGATTAACATATCAACAAAATAGGTACACTCAGCCATTCCCTATGCCAATGGAATATCATGCTAATTGGTGTAGTCCTTGGTTATGTGTTCATTCTTGAATTAGAAAAATTATCTGAATACATAAATTAATAAGAGCCTTCCTCAGCAGGCGGGGGTTGGGGCAATCTCTTCCACAAAATTTAACTACTTTATAAAGATGAGAAATAGAATAGATGTCAATACAGCTGTGGTACTCATAAGTACTTCTCATTAAGTTGATATATTACTTTCTAAGGATATACAAAGCATTAATTTTGTTAATTTGATAAGTTAAATTGTATAATTGAGGGCACTCTCAGGAAAATATAAGGCTGTCTTGAGTTCGTGGACTGTTTCTTAAAATAAAG